TCCCATAAGCAGGGGTTGCTCCACAAATCAGGGGTGCTGGAGTGTTGGCCCACCTCAGAGGCTATCTAGGACTTTAGTCCTTGTGTCCTAACTAGGAAGCATCCTGTGGACACTTGCAATTTAGGAAGGGCCAGAAGAATTGGATCAAGGGGGCACTTCAGGCACTGGATAGCTGGAGGATGGGTGAGAACAATGGCTCCTATGGCTTGTCTAATTTATCTTCTGCTGCACCCACGTTGCCTGCATTGTCTTTTGCACTCCATGCTGGAAAATCTGTTACTAGTATTCCAGACACACAGTGAAATTGAAGTTGAGTATTCACATCAGTAGCAAGGTAAACTAAAAAGCAGACACTCCAGGCTGAGGCTATACTTGTGCCCCCTAGTAGAACCTCAGTGCTGAAAGGCACAAATGCTAGCTATTCCAGACTAGTCCTAACCAGGCCCAAGCTACCTCAACAGCAGAGTCAGAAACAGATCAAAACAAAGCTTTCAGTGGCCACAGCCAAGGCCTTTTTGGGGAGACAGTTGTCGGCAGTCCCTTGATATGAGAATGGCAGTCTTCCAGTAAATAGGGGAGTCATTGGTGGGTGTGTCTACATATGCATTTACACTGGCTTAAATGTACTGTGCAGTAAGTAGGAATAGGCCAGTGTCTACACATGTAGATGACCTGGGACTAAATTTAGTCCTGGGTCAGAGCAGCCTGCCATGTACCCCTGTGGCCACCGGGGGGGAGCTCCAGCATCTGGCCACATGGCTGCCAGCCCTTGGGACTAACTTTAGTCCCAAGCTGAAGCCAGGAGAGGCGGCCAGCCAGGAGCCCTGGGGCTGGGCTCAGGCCAGCCACCCAGTGGCTGGACAGACCCAGCAGGGAACTCCCCTGGGTTACTGCACAGTAAAGCGTCTACATGTGTTACTGTGCAGTAACTAATTGGGTGTAAATCACCATATTTACTGCACAGTATGGACATGTACCTATAGACGCATGCCCATACTGCGCAGTAATTTTGGTTACTGCGCAGTAAATCCGCATGTGTAGATGTGCCCGGTGAGTCCATATTTAGGTGACTAATCCAAGATCCACAAGTTTGAATGCAGACATGGCACATAGCTCCAGGAGGAAGGAGTAGATCCTGGTGGTGTTGGGTCACAGATTTTTCCTTTGTCTCTCTTGTCTCATTATGGCGGTAGATAGACAAGTTTGCGTGAAATGATCAAAGCCTCATCATACATCACAGCACCACTGCAGACAGCTCAATGTTCCAGTCTCCCAGGTACTAATGTTAATATTGAATTTGTTCAGATTGGCCTTCAAGGTGTGCTTGCATTTTTCTTTTGCTCACCTCTAGAGCAGTGACTATCAGTGAGCTGGCAGTGCAGGATCTGTTTTGGAAGCTGGTTGTCAGGCATCCTTATGACATGTCCTTTTCAATGAAGACAGTGCCATATAAACAGGGCTTTAATGCTGGTGGCTTTTGCTTGAGCAAGAAGGCTGGCATTCACTCTTCTGCCCTTCCAGCTGTATAAAGGATTTTCTGAAGATACTGATGATGGTAATCTCCTGGTATCATACTTCATTCTAGAGGACTGTTGCAAAATCTGTTTAGATTTCCAAACAAAAGCTATGCTGGAATTGAGTTAACATGGGCCCACACACACACTGAGATACTTAATCACGGTAGAGAAGCTGAACGAGTCTAGGGGATTCTGCATCAGATTATTAGGGGCAAGAGGAAAACCCTGACACTAGGTGTGAAATTTCTAAAAGGATCTATTTTAATTAGTTTAGAATGCCTAAAATGATTAACAGATGACCCTGTAAAGGCTGCCATTCTGAGAATATGCTGTTTTTTTCAGTTAACCACCAACCTACGCCAGAGCTGCTAACCACACAAACACGCATCCTTCTAATAATTTTAATTGTTTTCAATTTTCAGACAGAGAGCCCCTCGCTGTGCAGCTAATATGACCTGACCATATGCTCTTGACTGAACCACCTAAACAGAGCACCAGGGTTGGGTTCTTAAACCCTTTGGAGCCGAGGTGTCAAACATATGGCTCACGGACAAGATCTAGTCCTTAGAGCTCTGTTATTTGGCCTGCAGGGCTCCCAGAGTGGCTGTACATTCAGGAATAGAACATGCAGGAACAGGGCCCACCACCAAAATCCAGGGCACAGAGTCCCCCTTATGGACACGTTAGTGGCCGGGGTGAGCAATGGCTACATTAATCCATACAACAGATGCCACTTACCCACTGCATCTAGGGCTCCTCCACAGCTCCTAGAGGCTTCTCCAACATACTGTAATTACAGTACATCTGAGCAGATTAATCGAGTCTGCTGAAACATGGTAAATACCATGCTCCACGCAACTCCAGTGTCACGTTGTATCAGCGTTCCTGCACTGAACATGGCAGCAGAGTGCTTTAAACTAAAGTTTGTTCAATGAGCTTTAGTTCAAAGCACCCTGCTAGGATTTTTCAGTGGGGACACTAATACATGTGATGCTCCAGGCCTTTTTAATTAGCGTAGCTCTCAGAGCTGTGCTAATTAAAGCACCTTCTCTTCCCTGCTGCCTCCCAGAGCATGACTATAAATGCCCCTAGAGCCAGACCTGGGGCTAGGGCAAGTTTGACACCACAGCTCTAGGAATGAGCAGTAGAACTTCCTGAGGAGTGATTAGCTGTCAGAGGCCTGGGACCTACTCCAGGCACAGGCAGCATCAGCCCTCATAAAGGTGGGTCCCTGAGCAATGTTTGCCTGGCCCTTCCAGCTGTGAGGCTCAGCAAAGTTATGCTGCATTCAGCAGGCAATGTGCTGGTGCAGGACACTTGAAAAGAGTTGCAAGGAATGATTACATCGGGTCAGCTCACAGCTGTTGTCCAAGCTGATGCTTTTTCCTATAGTGGCTGCCATTTTGCACTCTATATTCTGAGCCTTTATTTAAAATTGAATAAACCAAACTCTAGCTTGTAAGGTAGTAAAGGAAACCTTTCACATGCACATGAGGGTGCTGATGGTATCCTCAGCCTGCAGGTGGCCTAACAAAATAGGTTTGAGAGGCAAAAGCAATTCTTATTTCAATAGGCTGTTGATGCTGAAGTCTAATAATGGGCATTTAAGTGGCACACTCAGCATGAAAGAAAGGGGTATAATCATAGTAAGGCAATCTGTGTCTAGCATCTGGTTTGCTGGGATGACAGGTCAGAGCTTTGATGCATTCCTCTGCTTATTATGCCCTCACTGTAAGATGTTGGGAGGTAGACCAACTTACTGCCTGCAGCAGTATTTTAGCTCCAGATTTTACACATCATAGCTCTTCCCAGCCTGCCACACCCCACAAAGCCAGACAAATACCCACAGAGTGAAGGAAAGAATAAACCAGGAAGCAGAAAGGCTCAACTGTCTTGTCCTGTTATACAGGTTTGTGCTCCTTGCTGCTCAGCCTAATTCATCTTCACATTAGGGAAGAACTGCTCCTGTTTTAAATGCTGGAAAAAAGGAAATAGGATTTACTCAAGGCAACAGAGCAAGTCAGAGATGGAGACAGGAGAAGTAGCTTTAATTCCTGACTCCTAGTCTAATGCTGTAATCACTCAGGCATATTCCCTGAGCTGGCCCTGCAAACCGATTATGCACAGGGAGTAAGTGCATAGGTTTGCTGTTCTAAATTAGATCATCAGTTCATCAACTGGAAAGGAGCAATGACCCCAGGGAACTCAACTTAGACAGATGAGTTCTCTTTGCTGAGGGGAAAGGCTGCAACAGCTACTGCATCAGGCAAAGTCAAAGCTCCTGCTAAAGTGACTCTCTTCTTATCACTCACAAGAGTTACAGTGAGGAGCTAAACTTTTACATGCTGGCATGTGCAGTAGAAGAGGATAAGCTTATGGTTTACTGAAGAGACCAATTATTCAGGGACTTTACTGCTTTAATTTAAGAGAGCACTCTGTCATGCTTGTCAGAAGAGTCTATAAAATAGCATTCCTGGGGTCAGTTCCTGATCCTTTGGTAGGACTTGGGAAAAAGACTCAGGTTCTTATTTTTGAAGGTGTCCGTGATAACTCTTCTACACTTGTCTCTTGCTGGGCACCCAAAACTCAAAATTTTTAAGCAGGTCTGAAAGTCTTGGTACCTTTGTAATCTCCACTGCCAAATAAGGATGTTGATTTGCATTATGCCTCATACAGGTTCTTGGAAGCTTAGTTTATTCATATTTGTCAAGTGCTCTGAGAGCCTGTATGAATGGGAAAGGGGAGGGAGGGAAATAAAGTATTTATTTTAATACTTTAATACATGAAGCTCAGTATTCCTGTCTGTCACGCTTGCACCTTATTAGTGGCAACAGGCAGTTTATTTCCAGGCAACTGCTAAAGAAAAGCTGCAGGCTGATACAACACAGAGAATGCAGAACTCTACTTACTGTCAATTTTACTTCTGTATTTTATTTTCTCCTCCTCCCATTTATTATTAATCTGCATTTACATTTAACTCTGGCTTTCATCCTCTGGCAGAGGCCAAGCCAGTGCCATGTTACTGTGAGGAAAGAGGGAAAGAAAAGCAGGATCAGTATTGGGCTTAGAGATGCTCATTAGCCTCATCAAGCACTCTTCCATATCCCCAAGAATGATCCAGAAGCCACTGCATTTGGGAGCGCAGAAACTGTCAGAACCAACCAAGCAAGCAGTCTATTCATCTAGTGCAATGGGCCTTTGACTCAAAAATGCCAGTTCTTAGCTTGCACTCATGTTTTGACTACAAAAAAAATAGAGCAATTCTTCTGCTGCAAAAGCTCAGAAAAACAGCAGCACCTCAGAGCTGCTTTTGACAATATGGATTCCTACTTGAAATCTCTGGGTTTACCTTGTGAATTATGTGTAGGTGTTTGTACACATAAGACTGCTAATATTGTGTGGCATTCTCAAAAGGATCTTGTGCCACCCTGGTTAAGAATCACTGGCCTCTGATAACTTACCCCTCACAATGCTAGCGTCACCTTTTTTATGGGAATGCTCTTTCCAATCCGCAGCACTTATAGCCTCCAAACCAAAAGCACATAGGTGTTATTTCCCTTCTATATTTCTATCCACAAGGATTCTTATATTTATTTTTGTCTTATCCTCTTCAGAGCTGCCTTGTGGTCCTGTTCTCAATAATAATCTTATCGTATTGAGTTTAGTGTGTCCTGTACATAAGACTGCTTCTTTCAAAAATGTGATTTTTTTTTTTCCTTTTAAAAGTTAATACAAATATAAGGAGACATTTAAATGTGAAATAAGATAAATAGGAGCACAACATTCACCATCTCTCTCCTCTCCAAGGTAAACAATTCCAATCTAAACATCAATATAAACACCAGTGTCTTCCTAGAGAGATTTTTTTCAGGCTTTAAATCATCTTCATCACCGGTCTATTTTTGTTACACCCTTTTTGAGGAGAAATGAACACAATGTTCCAGAAGAAGCTGCACCCATTCATTTATATAATGACATTCTAATATTTCCTTTCTATTCCATTCCTTACACGTTTAGATTCATTCTGCTTTCCTTGTTTTTCTTTACTTAAGTGCAAATGAAAAGCCCACTCAGTCTCATCTTTCAGCTAGAGACAAAGTGAATGTAATTCATTGTGGAGAGTTCATAAATCTTCCAAAATGGAGGAAAAAAATTACACATACATGCTGTACATGATAATGCTTTCCACAGCTGTGTGGAAGACACTAAATTTATTGCACAAATCCCAAAAGATCCCATATTTCCAGAGGGCCTGTGAGCCTAGGAGAGTCTAGACCCCAAGTCAGGTCTGGGGAATTTTCTCCTGTGCCTTCATCAGCATCAGTAGCTCCACTAGTTGAGCTGGAGCACTGCTTACTCTTTATTCTGCCTGGCATGAGCATCACTGCCTTGAAGCATCCGACAGGATAGGAATGTTGTTGCAAATGGAGAGAACGCCTCTCCTGCTCAATCTCTGGACGGTGAGCAGCGTTCAGTCATAATGAAGATTCTTCAGCGTGCCTCCTCCAAATCTTTTTCTATCTGAAAAGCCAGGAATCTGGAGATAGGGAAGATAAAAGTTATGTCAGAAGCAGTGGAAATGTCTTCCAGCCCCTGAGAACATGCATATTACCTATAATATTACATATTATTAGGCAGCATCACTGCCTTCTCCTCCTGCTTTTCCAGGCTAGAGCTTGAGGGAGTGCTCTGGCATACTGTTAGTGGGCACTGCCTAATGAACAAGATTCAATACAGACATCCTGATCATGGGTGTTAAAGATTCTGCGAGGCATTCTGAAAGAGTTGCACCACAACATGAGCCCAGTTATCCCAGGCAAATTCTAATGTGGTTAGTTACACAATCCCTTACTGAGGTCCCTGCAAGTTCAACTGCACATAGAAATCTTCACCACCTTCTTTCCTACTGTGCTGTATTAGGAGAGAGGTTAAGGTTTGTCCCAACCACCAAGAGACAGCACTTCATTATCATTGGCATGACAGCTTCACAAACTGATAAAGGCTATCAGAATGAAACAGACTGCAATGATGTAAAATGTCTGCACTCTTTTTTTTCTGCTGCATATATAAAGATAGTGCTGACACTGACCATCCATTCTCACTTAGGAGATCTATTCTAAATCACCACCAGATTCTCTGCTTCAAGAGATTTCTAACAGATTTACACTGCAGAGCATCTCATGGCAGCATTTCATGTAGCTGTCCATAAGACCATAGCTCAGGAGTCATCCTACTTGTCTACACACAGGCACAGGGGAGGTTTCAGGGCAGCAGCCTCTCTCCATGTCCTTTTATAGCCATCTTCCCCCTTCATCCAATCTGTTATATAGCAGCAGTTTCACAATGTAAAGAGGGAAGACATCTCAGAACTGGCCAAAAGCAGCATATGTGAATACATGTGGGTGGGGCAAATGCTAATTTAGAACACATAAGAGAGACTGACAGGAGTATGCCCTGTTGTGGTAAATAGAGAAAAGTAACACATTTTAGCAAAAATGTCAGTTTAGTCAGGGCTTTTTGACTCAACATTCTTGACAAACCTCAGCTGATGCAAAAGTGAACTCATAGGGCACATCCTGTTAAGTGTGCATATGCAGGGGCATGCATTTGCTGCAGTGCACACCCCTGCATGTGGAGTTTGGCGTGGGGCAAAATGCCCTGCTTTGAGGAAATGGCTATTTCCCTGTTCTTCCTGGCTCTCGGTGTGTTGGAGGAGCCAGGGAACAACTAGAGGAGGGAAGATGCTCTGGCCAGCAGCCAAAGCATCTGCCTGGAGGACCTCGCCCTTGTGTCTGTTGGTGCATAGTGTCACTTTTTTTTGTGGCATTTTTTTTTTGGCATCAGGACCCCAGCTTTAAGGTGTTGCAAACCACATGGCCACATGTCCATGCTCATCTGGATGTGCCCACAGGGTGCATCTGTGTGGCCTCCCTACTGACAGAATAAGCTGTGCCCAGTCCCATTGCAGTGCATCAGGGACTGACAATTAGTGCAGACTGCTCAGGAGTGGACTGAAGTGGGTCTGAGCACCTCTCCTCATTCCCCCAGCATTGCTGTCAGCCTGTCCTATGACAGAGCTCAAGTACAGATCCAGGGGGCACATATTCAGGGCAGCTGCAAGTTGTCTATTCAGCCTAACTACCAGTCTCTGGTGTGCCTGAGCAGGAGCAAGTGGGTAGGGCTTATTTATTGGCAGCATATCCAGGATCAGAATGGAGGCCTTACAGACATGCCCATAGATATATTTCATGCCCACAGATATACTGCAAAAATTCAGTCAGCTCTGAAAAGAAACAAGACAACTTTCCACAAGTTACAAATAATGTAGAAACTGCCTGGGGGTGGGAAGCAGGTTAAGTGGAACAGTTCAAATGTCACACCAGACCTAGTTACCATACTGTTGTAAAAAATCTCCTCAGCAATCCTTAAAAACCACAAATGAGCAGAACCTCAGTTTTATGCCTTATTCCTTTATTCGAAAGATTATATGTCTAGCAGCACAGCCCTTCCTGGCACCACTCTTGGGTACTAATCCAGTGTTGGCTGTGAAGGGAGAGGGCAACCAACACATTCACTAGCACTGTTTCCTACAGTATCCTCTATTTTTCCGGAGCTTCCCACCAAGCACTTGATCGTCTGATCATATACTGTGATCTGACTGATATACTGGTATTACATTTAAGGACTGTTCTTCCATCCATGCTTTGAGATATACAAATGTAGGTTTCCCAGCTCATAGGTGGGCAGAACAGAGCCTGTTGCAAATACCACACTTATGTATGTGGAACAGGTCACTTCAGGCAGTAACACAGGTGGTTGTACTGAAGCCCTGGTGTCTCTCTGTTGGGTTTTGTCTTTACAGTATGCATGGTGACTTGCTTTTAATTTTGTATTAGACATCTGGGCTGTTACTGAGAGAGCAGATCAAAATAGTCAGCAGTGTGCCCTAATCTTTAGGTCATAGTCATAAAGATAACTTTTGGTTACCCCCTAAAACCATTCATATGAAATAAACAGATCTTACACAGTGTCATACCCAACCAGTCAAACAACTTGAAGGCAGCTGCTTTAAATTATCATCTTCTTGGAATGGACATTTTCTCTTATTAGCGTACAGACAAAAGTGCCTTTGTAGAATTGAAACAGGAGAAAGCACATTTTTTTTTAAATAACCAACCAAAAATAGAATTAACTTAGGCAAAAAAATTCACAAGGGAAACTATAACATACATTGATTTCCCTTATGCTTTCTCACACTCCCTATGAAGCTTTCAGCACAGGTATAGTTATTAGACCTACATTTTTTATTGCTTGTATCAATATGAGCACACCACCCAAACATAAATCTCACTACATTCTTGTAACCTGTGAAGAAGGTTGGTATTATTTCCCTTCCCCCGCCCCCGTTTTCATTAGGGACATCTTGCAAAGAACAGAGGGGTGAAGTGACTTACCCAGTCCCCAATTCTACATAGTTCTTTACAAATTTGAAAAGACTAATTAATGAACCATGTGCCATTGCTCTGGTGGCTCCATTGCTTTCTGTAGTAACTGTCATGGAAAAAATGTCAATTGCTGTGAACAAACCTTTGACAGATACAAGGCAATGTTGTCTGCCAGGTCTGCTGCCAGACAGCTGGAAACCAAGAAGCTCAGAGATGCCAAGTGCCCAGTTTTCTTCTTCACATTATCTGATCCCCAATCCTGACATGTCAATTTGAAATGGCATTAATATTTACTATTTCACCCGCTGACTATTTTAGAGTCAACACATCCCAAACTGTGCATGCAGCTTGCACTAACTGACACTGCTTTTCCCCTGCATCCTTCCAGTATAATTATTAATTCCACTTTTATTCATTGGTGCTGAACCTGTGTTCAGTTTCAGGGCCCAAGATCTGTACTCTAAAGGACAGAGCTTTGTCTACCAACAAAACCACAGTTTGCACCTTACAAGAAAAATATGGAAAAAAAAAGAAGCACAGACCTGATTACCATCTCGTAAAAAGTACCTCTTCTCTATGACCTGGGGAAAGCAATCAGAGAATGGTCTTAGTAGTCATTGTACATACCTAACCTTATAAACACAGTCAAAACTTGTACAATAGAGCTGCAGTCATAGTCAACTAGAAGCTGATGAAAATTCCTGGTTTTAGCTGCCTGGGATGGAGAATGATATGGAAGCAGAGTCCAGCCCCTGAAGGGTAGCTCAGAATTGCATAGCAACCCATCACATAAGAGAAAATCATAGCCAAATGGTGGTGTTTACAATGCATGGACTATAGGGGAAGGGTGATTCCTTGGCTCCCAACACCCTTCCCAGGAGAATGAATGGTTGGTGCATGTAACACAGGGCCAGTGCTGTGCAGAAGTACCTGAGCAAATTGTGCATATGCCACCTCTGGAACTGGAAGCAGTATAGCCACATGAGCACACTTTTGGACCCGGGCTAATCACAGGATTTGAACGTACAGGATTCTAATCCAGCTCTCGGGAAGTGGAAGGTGAGCGAACTAGTTTGACCACTTACTTAGCTTTTAGAATACACATGGGCTTCCTAGTATACAATAGTGCAGAACAACTTAATTGAATCTACATCACCTTATCAAAAAACCTGCTGAGCTTGACAGCATTGGATGAACCTGCAGCCAGATAGCGGGGGTTGGTGCAGTCCTGGAACACACAAGAAGCAACTCACAGTTGGGAAATGTGTTACACAATTTTCACTAACAAGCAGGGAAACTGCTGGGAATAACCTGGTACATGGCACAACTCTTCAGCTATCAGCCTCTGAAGAGGAAGCAAACTGAGTCATATCTCCCCACACAGAAAGATCAGCTGGAAATTTTTTGGAGGGTCCAGAACAGGGTGGCCACCATAGAGGACATTCTGGTTTTCTACTACTCTGTCCTCTGCTGATATGAAACCCACCGCTTATGTCCTCTATTTCTCTCTTCAAGACAAAAATAGAGGACATAAAGGCGTTTGGTTTCATATCAATAGAGGACAGAGGACACCTGGACTATCCTCTATGATGGCCACCCTAGCCCAGAAGCATCCCTTTTGCCAACATGAGCCAGGATTTTTTTTATTTACCCCTTAGAACCGCTGACTTTTTCCTGTTAAAAATGGTTCCCTTAGTACCCAGATAAGCTAAAGGTGCTGGCTTGACAGCCCCAAAGATTGATACCTTCTGTGCCCACAGAGTACAGCAGGCGAAGTTTCTTTTAGTCAGGTCCTGCATTTGTCTCTCAACCTGGATTTGGAGGCATAGCTCTAGGCATAACAGAAAGTCCAGCCTCTACACCTGTGACAAGTCTAACTTTGTATCTATGTCCCCAGCTTAACTTCAGCTATTTATACAGCAAAGTGTTGATTCCACCCAGCAAATGGTACATCTGGGAACAGATGTTGTCTTTGTTGGATTCAAACGAGAGTTTGTGGAAAAAACAAGAACAGGATCAAGAAATCCTAACTCTAACTCCCTGCTTTAAAACTGACAGCACTCTGACTCCCCACCTCCAGCATCTTCGTTTATCTGAACCAAGGTTAATATTTCACCCTTGGGTAAGCATCCAGTGCTGACAACAATGATGCAAACAACCAGGAGAATGAGAGGGCAGGCTGCAGCAGTCCAGTTCTTATAACTAGATTCTTATCCGCTATGAAACCACCACCTGTCACACAAAGTGAAAACAACTGTTGACAGAAATACTAACCAAATTAATCTCTTCTGCATTGAAATCCTCAGCCAGGAAAGCTGTTCTGGTCAAAACTTCATTGCGCTTAGCCTCTGGGATCTGGTCCAGTTTGGTTCCTATCACCAGTAGGGGAATCTGGTTATCAGCAAACTGTTCGCGGTCATAGTCCCTGTGCAATGAAAACAGAATAAATATAGCCCTAGGCTACAGAAACAGCTCCACAAGTTGACAAAGGGAAACAGTGTTCTATTCCTTCCACACCAGGTGGGTAAAGGGATACTTGGATACCCAGTATGCTGAAAGCCAGGAGATAGGTTTGTGTGGGCCATGGGGGAGGGTTTCTGTAGATGAATCATGGTAGAGTAGGATACTGAGAGGGATAAGAGAAAAGGAATTTGCAGTTAGTACTCCAAACATGCATGAGGATTCTTATGTGAAAGCATCCACTGGAAGGTGCGAGATAACACAACATTAACTGGGAAAAAACAGAAACGGGAGGACAACTAACAGGCTGGTTTACTGCACATACACCAAACGTATGATGTTATTTTATAAAATGGGTCAGGGGAGCTGCAATTAAAGGTTAGATTTAAGCATTCTTGGTTAAATTCTGCTGTGACACCTTTGAAGTCTCAAGCCTCTCTCACAGTATTCAGATGCAGCCTTGTTTTCAAGGCTGCACCTGAATATTAGAAATTCATACAAAGACATTCTATGAAGAGATAGAAAATTAATATCTCCCCTGAAATGTCAGCCTCTCCAATGAAATAGCAGGGAGGTTGCAATTAGATCAGCTAGGCATTAAATGACTCATACTACCACATGCAGGAAAAGACAACTGTTGCGTGCTGACTTCTGACAAGTTTCAAGTCAAATTTAAACTGCAACAGAAACAGCCTACACAAATGAAATTAATTAAATATATATTTTAAGAGAGAGAGACTAGCTCTGATGCAAGAGATCAATGATTCATTGTTAACTCAGAAACCCCAACTCGGACTATCCCCCTTCTTTCTTCAACAAAAGTTCATTTCATTTTCAGGCACGTCAAGCTTCAAAAGAGTTACTCTTCTACCCAAGAAATCAAAGCCTAAGACAAAACACAAACCTCTACTGCTAATGGGATAAACCTGTTCTTTTATTTAAATACAAGAGAAGTGCTAATATAAAAAACAGCTGCAGGGAATCTGGATTTGGAAGAAATTCAACATGGCAGCTCAATACCATATGGGCTGTAGAACCCCAGTCCCCAAGTTTTTAAAAAAAACCAGAAGGAGCACATGTCTGTAGACGCACACTTGTGTCTTTCTTCCCACCAAACACTACCTCATTTCACTGCCATCCTTGCTTGCATGATTTCTCAAAGGTCTGAAAATCTTTTCAATTACAATTGTAAAAACAGAATAGGAGAAGATAGCAACAAATCCTCCATATGATACAAAGCTAATTAGAAACAGGTATTCTAATAGATTTTTGCAAGGTCCTTGAGAAAAATCCTTCAGAGAAATCTGGCGGATTTAGTGACTTTTACTGCTCCTCAAAGTAAAAAGCCAGTCTGGACATGGAAACAATTAAACACTCAAGGTATTTTTTGTTGTTTTTAATGGTCCTGCATGCCACAAGCAGCCACCCAAGACTTTAGGGCAGGGGTCAGCAGCCTTTTGGTGGCATGGATTGGAGCTTGTGACCTACCTATGGCTGTAGGCTAGAAGTCTCTACTGTGGTCCCTGCCACCTCCCCCCACAGTGTGCTGCCTGCATTCATTCTGTTCCATTGTGTCTGCATTCATTCTGTTCCACCATGGACACTCTGTGAAGGAATGGACCCATGCAGGACAGATTCAGACCATGGCCCATAGGTTGCCAGCCCCTACTTTAGGGTAGCAGGGAATGAAATAATTTTCATGTGGCCTCAGAAACATGGCAGGAAAAGTATGCAGACATGTTCTTCTAAACCCAGGCCACTGTCAGACAACTGAAGAGCCCAGCAGCAGCCAGGCATGCTCTACAGATGCAACAGAAACAGCGCTTCTTTTCTGAAGCCCCCTGGCTCTTCTCATCCCCACCTACAGCCCTGCCTGAGAATTCTGCACTCAGTCAAATGTCTTGGAGAGTTCAAGTGCCCTTAGTGATGACCAGAGATGAACAATGACACGATAGCCCCAGGTGCATATTCAGGGCTGTGCATGTGTTTGTACACTCACCCATTTGTTACGAGAACTCCTGTTGGAACCACATCCCTGTTGAGGGCTTCCAGTGACCAGCGATACAAGTTTTGAGAGGACTTTTTGTTGGTTAAGTCATGCACCAAAATGATGCCTAAATGGAGAGTTAAAAAAAAGACAGGATATAACTTGACATTTTCCCTAGCCTTTGTATTTGATTCAGAATCTCTGGAATTAAGAGATAGTTTGGTCTGAAACATTAGGGACCCGTTAGGTACTTCTTTAAGTAGTCTGTCATTGTGGAAATATGATGGCATTTCTAAACATGACCTGAAGCAGGAGCGTAGTAGGATCTAATTTTCTGCCGTCTTCTGTCTCACAATTAAAAACAATCTCCAGATATTCCTTTTTTTAACATACTTTAAAAAATGATCTTAATATCATCAGGAATGCCAGTTTGTCTTGTCTTACTTTGTTGGGGGTGTGCCTAGGAGGATCCAGAGACATGGCTTGTGAATTGTCTTAGAAGTTAATTAACAGGGTGTTGCATCTTTAACAAAAGCATTTTTTTCATTCATTAGCAATTTGAATTAATAATTTAAAAAAAAATGAAATAATGTATCTAGAAATCCTTACCCTTTTCAATTCACTTGGATTGCATTTGTATTAAATGACAAGCTGTGCTATTAGCCGTATTATAAAGGGAAGCATCATCAGCCTTAATAAGACCCTGTTATTGGCAGATTAACACTTTTACCAAAATGGTTCAGTTATCTCCAGGAACAAAAGTAGGAAAAAAGATGTGGTTTGGCCTGTTATAAAAAAAACAAAAACAAAACACCTCTGCCCTTCTCTTTTGAGTACTCTTACGACATGGAGAGATTTGATATTTGGGAGTGTGACAGTCTGTACCAGAGGTTGTTCTCTGCTTGTCTGTGAATATTTGCTTGAATTGACCAAGTAATAAGCCTTAAAACAAACAAGCATAAAGAAAACATAAAGAAAAACACATACAAACAGCAATCAGAACACTGACATTTTATAGGGAAAATAGTTCTTAGTATGCTAGAGCAGGAAACACTTGGCAGGACTAATTAAAAATGGATTTTCTGACCAAAAATATTTTCTAGCATAAATATGGGATCAGACAGCAGGAAAGAGAAAAAAATTCCCAGAATCTTTATTATGCCTTTCTTTATTAGGCGAGACATGCCTTCATAGCTGCCTGCACAGCCTGAGGAAACCCCGCTGCAGTTTCAGGAACTCCCTGTTGTGCTAGTTCTGGAATGCTGAAGTGAAGCGAGAGGCTGGATACTGCTCATTTGCATATCATTACCTAGGGTGGTTTTCCAGCTCATAGCTGGCTCCCCACAGAAGTCTGACTTAAGAAAGTTATGAATTCCTTTTGCGCCATGTCTTCAAGTTCACACAGCTCTATGGAGCCCAGCAAGGCTCGAGTGAATCCTGCCCCCAAACCAACAGAGATGTCCTACCACAGAAAGCAGTCAGTGACAAACATATTTACACTAACCATACTTTACCATTCACAGAGTTGTAAAATACTGCTCGTGTGCTTTTCACACTACTAGCGCTGCCCACTGAACCTCCAACATCCCACAACTCAGTGTAGTAGGTCTTCTCTTCTGGGGTCCCCTCTTTGTAGTCATGAATCTGATAGAAAAATTCAACCCATATATGAGCACAGTGTCAGCTACAAAAGTGATCCATACAAAAACTGGAAGAGTAGAAATGTGCGGTGCCGAACCAGTACCTTTAAATTCAGTACTAAAACTACATCCCAGGGTGCCGTGATGATCTTGTCTCTTAGCTAAGCAGGTTTGGGTTACACCAAGAAAGCTCCAACGAACACCCAAAGTGTTCTAAGAAAAGGCTGCAGTGGACTGAGAGGAGACAGTCCTTCTGAGATGCTAGTAAACTCTGAATGGATGAAAAGACAAGGCCCTGACCTCCTCCTGTAGTTAAGAATTACATATAAATTTTAAGAATAGCAGCACTGATTATTGGAACTGGAATCCAGCCATGATATTTCCTTATTCCTCTAAACCCTTTACGAAGTCTAAAAACCAATTAATTAGTCACCAATTTTCTTTTTAAGATCGACTGGGCAGTTGTATTCTAAAGCTATGAAATACAAACCACCACGTTTCCCTCAAAGATTTAAAAATAGCTGGCATTTTTTGCCCTAGGCAAAGAATTTGGAAAGATGTTATCCACAACGGGCAAAGGAGGGTTTTTTTTCCCCCACTATGCCATATGGATTGCCACTGAGACTGAAAACTTCTTCAAGAATACCCAGACTCTCCTGGACATCAGCTTCTGCCCTCAACAAACTATGCTGAGACAAGATTTTATTTATATTCTGCTCACTAACTTCCTTAAATGAAATAAAGCAAATGAAATTTTTTCCTTCAATACATCTGGCTGGCAACATAACAGCATGGTAATGGTCTCCCAAGGAATTGTGAATTCAGTTTATTCATCCTCTGATTCAGAATTCACCACTTACCAAAAAGTAATAAGGATAATATCCTAGTGAGTGTATATTAACTGTCACTGTGCTATGATGCTTTAAAAGACAGATGCATCTTGGCTTCTGTAGCTGGTGACATTGTAAAGCTTAATTTGTGTAAGTAAAAATATTTAGTCTAGAGTAATAATATTTTTTTTCTTAGCACTTTTCCACCAAAGGATTCTAAAGTTTAACAGCAATGAAATGAACCTCACTTTGGGGTGGAGAGGGTCTGTCAGTTCATCACAGATAAATGAAAGAAGAGGAAATTTTAATTAAGGATGTTAGCTAAATTAAGTTATCCTTTAAGAAAATACTAGCGGTCACTTAATATTCATGAAAAATACCCAACAGTTTGGTATTTAAAAATATCATTCAAAAGACCACCCCACCCAAAACTTAATTATGGATGTCTGAAAAGTGAAGGCCCAAACTAGTTTTGAATCAGATTTAAACTTGTCACCCAGAAAGCAGTGACCACAACGTCAGAAATAACAACAGGCACAACACTGCAAGTCCAGAAGTTCACTTACTCGCACATCCACTGAGCAGCCCACAGTCCAAGATGGATTTCCCAACACCTGATTTTGGCACAACAGATGAACAAGTGAAGATTTCCCAACACCTGCAAGCAAACATATATTTAATTTGCATGAGAGACAACACAGATTCTTACATTTGCCATTAACACCGTATTTTTTGTAGAGGTGCACAGACACATTGATCCAATATCCGGTTGGTACCGATATAAAGAAAACTGGCTGTATCAGAAATCAGCCTGATGCAGCTGATAATTTGGTTGATAAATGCCAATGTGTGCGTGTAGCTACAGCGCAGCACTCAGGCAGCAAGAAGCAGAGCGCAGGAAGGTGGACAGCTGCCTCCAGCTAGTAAGTTCTTTGTGGTAGAAGGGGGAAG